ATAGTTATGTTTCCCTAAAACATTTTGGGAAAAGGTCATATAATAGGAACACAATTTAAACCTGGCAATCATTTTAGCAATCTGCCAACAGAGGGCGCTGGCATAACTTGACGGAAATAGCCGAACGTGAGATTGTCTATATTTAGGGGAAACGAGCGTCACTATGGTGATCATAACATAATGGCGTCCGAGATAGACGAACGTGAGGATTCCATGCTCGATAATCACAGAACATCTCTTTTAGATTATATTGAAGAGAGAAATAGAACTCTTAATAAGGTAATTGATAATTATATCTTTTATGCACTGTGCCATTGTTGTGTGAGCTCTAGTCACAACTAGGCCTAGTCACCAGTGTGATAACCGAGCAGCAGCTGACAGGTTGTTTTTACCTGAAACTAAATAGTTCACTCAATTGTCGTTCATAACTGGTGGACATGGTACCTGTGTTCGTAGACGACTAAGACCCTAGACCACTAGCAAAACCTCATTCTTAGAAAATAATTGGCAATTTGTACTTTCATTGTGGCCAAACAATGGGTGCGATGAAAGAAATGCATCAAACTTATGTTTGAAAAATATGAGCATGCATTTGTTTCGTTCAGTAGAATTATATGGCAACTGTGTTCGCATAAAACATTGATCAACAGCAGCAGCAGCAGCAGCAAATTTCTATCTTATATATTCATTTAGGATCAGGTCCGGACGCAACTCCAATCTTTCGAGGCGTACGCAAATTTTAGAAAAATGCTGCACTCAGTGTTTTGAGGCTTATATTGGACATGTGTGAAACGAATGGTAACTCTTCCTTAAAGGGATGTAATTCTTTATTGGTACCTTTGCCCTGAGATTTCAGTGATGCCTTCAAATTACAATGTACACTTAAATGACCGTACACCTTGTAATAATAGGGCAAGGGCGGTAACCCATGGTGTTTTCAAAATAGAGACAGTGTTACAAGCACTAGGAAACTTTCAGACACATTTTCTCTGGTCAGTGCAATAAACTTTAAAAGTTTAAAAATGGAAAGTGTTCTACATTTTTCTCTAATGTTTAATCTCTTTCGTTAAAAAGCTTCACTAATTTCAAAAATGTCTACCTGGAAGTTTGACTACGACAGTCATGTGTCTGATTCACTAAGGATGTAATGATTTGATCAATTTTTCTGGATCCTATATTGTACCGCCATGAATTATTAACTAAATTTGCTGAAAACAAAAGTTTGTGGTATTATGTTGATATCATGTTCCTAAGGCAAGGGAGTTAACTGACTATCAAAGTCCAGTTTCCACCCTTGCCTAACTAGGCTGGAATTATGGAGTTATATTTTGGCGTGACTAGCGAGTCTATGCATAGTCCAATCAAAATCATGTAACGAAATCGCCATCTAGTTCATAATGTGCCATGCAGATTTTGGTCTGGATTGCTGGATATGCAAAGCATGTGTGCCGACAACTTAGCGTCAACAGATATTTTTCAAATGTTTTCATGTTTGTAATCAAAGTGATCACATGATTTGATGTACTTCGCGAAGTGGGACCCGTTTTATTACAATATAGATCTTGATTATCGATCATATCATCTTCACTTGGCGATGCCATAATATTTGAAGCAAATGCAAGTGATATGAGAGGTGGAATCAATAGGTCAATAGGAGGGACAAAACTCATAATAGCCACTGGTGGTGCTACGATCAAGCCCAGAAATTCCAGCCTAATTCGGCAAGGGTGGAAACTGGACTTTTACAGTCAGTTTACTTCCTTGCCTTGGGAAGATGGTAGATAATAAAAGGTGTTACGTGATGCTTATGTTCCAAGCCTATGGCAACTCGTATGACAAGAGAGTAGTGGTCGATATGACGAACGCCCAGTAATTTGAGTGCAGCATGTGGAAATTGGTTTCATGTAAAAATTGAACTGACATTAACACTTAATGTTGTTTCAACGTCAGTTTTCAATGCTGTTTAAACACTGTTTCAACGTGTATGTATCAGAGGACCATTGTCAGCACGATACCTGTGCTCATGGGTTTCAGTAAAGTGGTAAACGTCTGAGACCTGCATCACTTTGGGCTTTCCTCCCACATTAAGCTGACACGCCGCGTAACTAGAATACTGTTATAAGCGGAGTTAAACCCAACTCACTCACTCACTTACAGTACAGCATCAGATCAAGAAGTGGGGGCCTCCCTGTGGCAGTCTCCTTTGGCAAGACGCTTTCAGAAATTGCCTGTATTTGAGATTAGTGAAATATTCTAGACATTCATAATACACACCAAACAACAAACCATTGTGTTTGGGTTAGACAGGCACTAAGCTAGCTCTGAGTGTTGACCCATTTTGCTAACACATTTCACTGACCCCAAAGTAGTGTCAAAAAACTAATATGTGATGCAGATGAACAAATGAACAACCAAGATACCCTTTTTTCCAAAAGGGTATTTGCAAATTTGCGGGCATTGGTTCCCTACAAATTTTGTATGTCTCCCAGGACGAAGGCTAGCAATCCTTGAAAAGTTTCATAACCACATGTCCACCTCTCGCTCAGGGTACAACTATCATAGTTGAGGGCAAAACTATACTTTATTACCCTACACATGGGGGTAGAGCAAACTTTATTTCTTAAATCCAGTTGAGTTAAACAGAATAATACAACTTCAAACACATACATATTAATTAATACCATGCAACAGCTTACCTTTAGAATTCCACGTCACAATGCCTTGTGACGTAATTTGTGCAACATACACCAGTGAAACAATGCCCTGTGATATCAGCCAGCAACAAGGTTGCTGAGGTTATCAAGTGTGCATTAGCTCCTCTCTGGGATCTATCGTCTCTACACGCAGTGTCATTGAATACGCCCAGCAATGTTGAGTGTTTTCAATATTTGTTTGTGAAACCTTATCCAGCAACATGAGGGTTTTCAATATTTGTTTGTGATTTATTTTTTTTCTGACAGTACGTAAGCATACGCTCTGGTATTAAACAGTGTCTCATTGCAGCTTATTGTTATTGAACGGGGTATCTTCTACGGGCGAGTAATAAATACATAGTTCATTATCTGTGTCCTTAGCAGGTCCTAAATATACTGAAACACTATGAAAACGTGTAGTGGAATTTGGGAAATAGAGTTTTCAGTGAACGGACAGAAAACAAAGAAATTGGTGTGTGGTAGTGAGGCCTGAAGGCATGCTACATTGCCATAATGTTGTCTGACTTTGAATCTTGATTCTCATTGTCATACCATACAAGCTTCCAATAACTTCTTACTTAGCAAGAGTCAAAATCCACCATGTGCTTCCAAAGTGTTTAAGTATATATGACTTTTAGAAGATATTTTTAGGCTATGTCAGGTGCATGGAGTGACTAGGGCTGCAACGATACAGGAAGGTCACGATTCAATACACATATCGATATTCTGGTCACGATACGATACGTATCTTGATACGCAAAGATAAAAAAAAACAAGACTTAAAGCATGTCAAGATTGAACCTTTCATGATTTTGGAAAAGTCAAAATTATTTTTTAATAAGACTACTGACGTTGTTAAGCTTCAAAGTGGAACTTTCTCTAACTTTCCTTCGAAACAATTCAAAGTTCAAACACCAGAAAATAATTAATGTACTCCACCAGTGATACAACTTCAAAGAATTTTGATGCAATGGTCGAAGAAATTGTATCTGAAATTATTGTTTTATCAGGAATAATATATTCCAATAGCGTGTTACTTCAGTTGCAGCTTTTACTAAATATATATATTTATAATTATAAGAACCACAAGTGTAGCATTTTGGTACTGGAGTTTGCTGTTGCAGAATATTTTTACGTATGGAACAATTTGACCAGGGACTTCCCTCGCTACATGTATTTGGATTGCGAAAACGTTATGTTGACATATATAAGCCAAATTACCACAAATAGGACTTTAAACGAGTCAAAGTATGGCATTTTTAATATATGTATCCATTCTTTAGCAACTAAAGTTTGTTTCAATGCGTCAAAAGCAGGAATCTGACCGTGGTTGCTGTATCTCTTCACACACGATTTCACCTAACGTAATGAAAACAATATTAAATGAAATTTTGAATAAAATTAATAAAATATATTGCTTTGTAAGCAATAGCTGATAACCCCTGAGCTTAATCGGCTCTGCTCGCCTTATTCTGTTTCTGCTCCATCAACCACACCACGGGTGTAGGCTTATCACATGGACAGACTGTTCTCTTGTTTGTAAACAAATGCACTCATTCTGGTCTAATGCTAGCCATTTGGTGTGCTTTACACATAGTTGTGCATAATTATATAGATATACTACTACTGCGACAGTGAGGTGCATGACAATATAGCTTTACACATTAATGTGACCGTACACATATCGCTAGCTCGTCGAAAGGCTTCCATAACAGTTTTTCATGTTTTGGGCTAATTTCCCACTGAAGTTAAACATTTCATGATGTATGTTTATTAAAATGTGTAGACTTGTAAAAAATGAAACACATGAATGGACTGTGTAAGATGTGACGATGTGACAGGTACTCAGCTGGACGCACAGAACCCTGGGTTGGAGAGTGATTGGCTTCATACGAGGCATATTTATATTGTAATTTGGGCTTTGATAAACACTGGCTTCTTATCCAATAAAGCTGACAGTCGGTATGTTAAACAATAGTCGTAAGTAAAACACACAAGCTCTTTTATTTGCCTCTATTAAAAACAAAGACTGAAGCCAGTTTACTCTGCATAACGCTTGGGTTGTTGGCTCTACTGCTTTGGTTTAAGAACTGAATCGGACATGTGACATCATACGTAAAAGTTATTTCATGCCTGATTTAGAAACACACAAAACCATCAACATACTGTTCCTTAAAGTGTGCCATTGGCAGTCTTATAAGGAATTTCAAACTATGGAACGTTAATATACATGTTCTCTGAAGTTTACATGTCTAGGTGGTAACCATCTTTGTAAAGTCATTTTGTATACCCAGGTTTTATACTTACCATAAAGTTTGGCATGACTTCTTGTTTTGCTGCTGTATTGGCTGAATACTATCTCATTGGTCTGGCTTTCATAATCACGACCCTACACTAACAGTGCAGTGTTGTGAACTGTTGTGCAGTGTAAATCTCCGACTGTTGTGGAGTGTCGTGTCCTGACTGTTGTGGAGCGTGGCTCCATCAGACTCTCCATGGTCACCTGGCTCAGTCTTGACAGTCACCCTTATCTCTCAGTCACTACCTGGTTGCTGGGAAGGGGGGAACATGAGGGTACTGGCTTATATATGGCTGTGTTGAAAGAGGGGGGTGGGGGCAGTAGGGGAGGAATAAACTTCTGGGGTGGAGTGGGGGGTGCCCTGCTATTGTGTGACAATCAATCACCACCTGCCAGGACAAGTTGATCGCAATGTTGATCTAGCAGGTGATAGCTTTGTTTAGAAAGCAATAGTCCTGTCACTGCCACTAACAACACCTACTTAAATGGTGAGACATTATCCCAGTTCTGATTGCAACTAAGTACCTGTAAGGAGCTACCCAGGGGGTATGTTTCTACATGTGAGTGGGTGTTGCTATGTGGGGTTCCAGTGAGCTCACCCTGCAGTAAGGTACCAGGGTACAGGACCTTGTTGTGTGCGCTATGTCTGGTGTGAAGAAGGAAGACGGGGGTCAGGAAGGGGCTGACCAGTCTAACCCCGGGGATCAGACAAATGCTGATGGTAGTGCTCGGGCTAAACTAGCACTGGTTGACAAGACAAAAAGGAAGGGCAAGAAAGCAGAGCGGGTGTTTGACTGGCCCAAGAAAAATTACTTTGAAGTTACACGACATGATTCAACAGATACAGAAAGAATGGTGATTTGTTTTAACACTAGTTGCTGTTGGCTAGCCCAGGTTTAGTTGTCACTTGTCTGTCCCCGAACCTACTAGTCCTGCTAATAGCATGTTGTGGATCAAAGTTACATCAGGCACACCGTGGTTGATAATGCATGACGGATCCAGAGGAGGGGTGCAGGGGGGGTGCGCACCAAAAAGGGTGCGCCCACCCCCTGCAACCCCCCTCTGGATCCGTAAATGTGCAACCCCCTTTTTCATACTCCTTACTTGTTAACTGCATCCTCAATATTATGTGCACCCTATTTTTTCAAAATTTTGCCTCTGTAGAGCCACATTATTTTGGTCTATAAGTCTAATTATAACTTTTGTCTCTTGTTACAGAAAAGCCTTGTGCATCGTGTGGTATACATTTCCAAACTACGAGATGAGGACATTGACAGAGTGGAAGCCGGCAGTGAGTATAGAGATTAACACACTGTGTCGTGTTGTGAGGTGGAGGGAATATATTCAGATAGTGTATTTGTATAATTACCTCATTCATAGTAGACTTTACATATTTAGAGAAAGTAAGGCTTTTGTTTGAAGCCATGCATCTTGAGCATGCATTTGAATAGTGTCTGATAACATATGCCTTGCTGGTATTTGTATTATAATCATAAAATCATTTCTTAAAAAGAAAAGTTAGAAATAGGAATGAAATGGTAATTACTGTTTGATTGTAAGTACCGGTAAGCCATTTGTAGCATTTTCAGTTACATATATCAAATTGTGTGGGTGGGTGTTTGTGTTATATCATTGTCAACACTACCTGATGCATGATTACCTCTATAGGTATGGAATTTTATATTTACACATTTCTTTGGAAATACCTGCCTCATGTAATGTTGTTGGTGTGGATATCAGAGGTCAGTGTTGTGTTGGAGGTGGTTGTGAAGCCTGCTGTGTTATGTACTGCAGTTACTGTTGCCCCTCTACTTGTACAGCCCCAGTGCTGCAAGCTGTCAGGGAATTGGTCACATCGGTATATGGTCTCTGGTCACATTTGCGAGTGGAGTTTTGGAAATGCAACAAACCATTTTAAAACACTTATCTCTTGTGAGTGAGGCAAAATCTTTAATTTATTTACAATCAGTTATATTAGCCATGTCTGTAATTATATTTGAGTTCAGTTAGAGACGTATGCACTTTTAGCGATTTTAATAGATCGTTCTAAGAGAAGTAACTCTAGTTTATTTCATCTTATCCAGTCTGGCAGTGTAGTTCACACTGTATGGATGAAAGGGTTCCCACAATCCCTTGTGTAGCAGACTTGTAAACATCGTGAATCCTGTCAATAGGAAAGGAATTTCAAAAGGAAAATGAATGATTGCATCATATTTTCAAGTTAACGTGACTGAAATTGATAAATCTATCACCTAGAAAAAAAATCAACAGTTGAGAATGTTCTATCATGTGTATTTATGGAATCATGGTTGCTAGAATTTGACTGTTTGCGATACCACAAATCTTAAGATACAATGTTTTGTGATCTATTGCTGGAAATAATGATTTTGTTAATGGCAGTCACAAGTTGAACCGAGAGAATATTAAAGCGCTTAGTGATTCTCACAGACATAGAAAGTGTAGAGACTACTATTTATGCCACAGACAAAAAACTGTCTTTATCTAACTTAGCTATTGTGCTACAATTTCATGCAGTAGACACCTAAACTGATGAGAAAAATGTGGATGAACTGAGGATTAAATTCAATACTGCATATTGTATTGGTAAATTAACATAATCTTTTATTCAGCACAATAATAGGTAAAGTTACATGCCAATATTAGCAGTGTGAATAGGCATGGCCACTTGAATTTCATTTTATCTAGTGATTTCATATACTTACTTAGTTATCAACAAGTAAGTAAAATAATTAACTTGGAGCCCTGCAGTTCTGAGACTTGGGAATTGTTGGATCTTAAGAAGCTGCCTTTATTAACGCCAAGGTCCGAAAGAAGTGTTTTCGAACTGAAAGTACATAGTGGTACATTAAGACTTTAAGGGCTTTGAGGAATTTAATGTTTGTGTGTGTCTGTCTGTCTGTCTGTCTGTCTGTCTGTCTGTTTGTGTCAGTCAGTGGGTGGTGGGTGTGGGCATTGGGATGCTTCTGTACTTGCAAGTAAATACAAGCACCTCTACCGGTAGTTGTATCATCTGTGATTTAATACTTTTTTTAAACATGAAATCGCAAAGTTTTACATATTTTTTGGAAGAAATCCACTTTTATCAACTCATGTTGATATATTTGATATCAGAAGACACTCGGGTGAGATTCTCTATTTATTTATCCTAAATTTATAACAGGCAGTATAGCACAGCTGTTGTAGACTGACAGAGTGATGGTATATGTTTCAGATTACTATGAGAGACAGCTGAAGAATCTTCAGAATGTCCACCAGAGTGTGTCGGTGACCGGACTCATGCTGATCTACATGAAACACATCGTACATGTGGTGGAGGTGAGCTACCTAGCACCCAGCACACCACAAACATACTCTTCCCACATCGTACATGTGGTGGAGGTGAGCTACCGAGCACACAGCACACCACAAACATACTCTTCCCACATACCTAGCACACCACAAACATACTCTTCCCACTTCGTACTTGTGGTGGAGGTGAGCTACCTAGCACACAGCACACCACAAACATACTCTTCCCACATCGTACATGTGGTGTAGGTGAGCTACCGAGCACACAGCACACCACAAACATACTCTTCCCACATCATACATGTGGTGGAGGTGAGCTACCTAGCACACAGCACACCACAAACATACTCTTCCCACATCGTAAATGTGGTGGAGGTGAGCTACCTAGCACACAGCACACCACAAACATACTCTTCCCACATCGTAAATGTGGTGGAGGTGAGCTAGCTAGCACACAGCACACCACAAACATACTCTTCCCACTTCGTACTTGTGGTGGAGGTGAGCTACCTAGCACACAGCACACCACAAACATACTCTTCCCACATCGTACATGTGGTGGAGGTGAGCTACCTAGCACACAGCACACCACAAACATACTCTTCCCACATCGTACATGTGGTGGAGGTGAGCTACCTAGCACACAGCACACCACAAACATACTCTTCCCACATCGTACATGTGGTGGAGGTGAGCTACCTAGCACACAGCACACCACAAACATACTCTTCCCACATCGTACATGTGGTGGAGGTGAGCTACCTAGCACACAGCACACCACAAACATACTCTTCCCACATCGTACATGTGGTGGAGGTGAGCTACCGAGCACACAGCACACCTCAAACATACTCTTCCCACATCGTACATGTGGTGGAGGTGAGCTACCGTGCACACAGCACACCACAAACATACTCTTCCCACATCGTACATGTGAGCTACCTAGCACCCAGCACACCACAAATATACTCTTCCCACATCGTACGTGTGGTGGAGGTGAGCTACCTAGCACCCAGCACACCACAAACATACTCTTCCCAGCTTCATACACAGCATATTGTCTCACGTTAATGACAGACAGCTGACAGGCAGTCTGTGTGCTGATGGTTATGGTAAAGATAAAAGAAATAATATTCTTGGTTCTCAGGCACCGCCCGCATCACCATAAAGTTTGTTGTTTATTTCCATGTTGTACCTTTTCTCCAACATACGACGTCATCAAGTTGCGAGCCCATGTTCGAATCTCCAGAAATGACGTCATGACAGAACAATGTTTTATCATGAAATAAACCCCTCTTGGTTCATTGTTCTTTGTGATTTATTTGTAGTTATCTTATATATGCTGTAATGTGACAGAAATGCTATTCCGAGTGCCGTAAGGTTTATTCAGGATGTGCTGATATCGGCTGTTGCAGACTTCCTCGGACATGCTGCTGGAGATAGTCAAGGACCTGCATTACAGTCAGACGTCAGACCAGGGTTTCATCTCCAAGGCCAAGATACTCGTTATCTCTCACGATATATCCTTTTCTTAGAAACCTGGTGATTAATACACCAGAACTGACACAAGGGATATGACAGTAGAAAATTCCACCCTGATCAATGACAACGGCATTGTGACATGGAATTGTTGAAGAATAGGATGATGTCACGGATGGCTTGTTGTGGAGAGTTTGCAGAGAAGGTCAATGATGTTGTCTTGTGTTTCATCCAGAATAAAGTTTTAGAGTAGAAAGACCTACGAGATAAACATACTGTGGTTTCAATGTAGAGACATGTTACAGCGATAGAATCTAACAGTTTTAGTCCACTAGTCCTTATAATGATAACATGTAGCAGAACCCCTGAGAAAGGGCAAATTTCTACTTGTACTTCTGATACCATAACTATTAGGCAGGTTGGTAAGCACTATCGAACTAGTGCTTATTTCAAAGGCTGCTGTTACCTGTAAAGAAAATGACACAAAAGTGAAGTTGGAACCACATGTTTTGTTCCCCAAATGTATTGCCACACATGCTAAGAATTTTCCCAGGAACCTACATTTGCCATACAGTCATCTACGTTCGCAGATATTATTTTGAAGTACCAACTAAGAAGTAATTTGTGATAATTATTTATTTCTGCCATTATGCAACTGTCAAATCGTCAGATATAATAAGAGCAGGGCTCGAAAATAGTAAAAAATCTTCTGTGCCCAAGGGCATGTGAGCTGATTTCAGGTGTGCCTTGTCTTTTTTACCCAATAACTATAACAAAAGGCAGCTAGTCCATCAGATCAAAATGTTTAATGTCATCAATGTTGTATAGTACAGAGAGGTCATCACATGAGATATTTCTCACTACTACACTTACAAATACTTACATGAAACGGACACCAAATTATAAACTTTTAACAACTGTGATTTTCCTTGTTTTGTCAAAACTGCACATTGAACACCTCATGCATTTAAATGTTCACTGGCTTGAACCTGTGTTTGAAGTTTGCTGGTTATGAAACCCCTTGAACCCTTTAAGAAATAAATAGTTTTCCATCTATTTTCAACTTGGCAAAATTTGCAAAAAAAATATTTTTTTATGCCAGTCATATATTAACCATGACATGTACTTTAGAAGTGGCCAGTTACTGGGAATACCTCTCGTTGATTTATTTTGGATAATTTTGACTTTGGTTCAGCTGTACTATCACATGTGTTAGTTGTGTCTGCATTCAATTTCCGCTTCTCAGGGATTTTATCAGTTTCTATGTTAGCAATAGCACTTGGTGATATGAGCTGTATTCTGTGCCCCTCGTCTGCCGAGGCGTTGTTACAAGTTACAGCAGTAGGCTTGATCATGAAGAAATAAGATGAAGTGGAGTTTTATCTTTTTGGTCTGTTCCAGTTTGACAAATTGCAATCATTTTCTAGTTTTTTCACACCAGTCAACATGAATAACCACTTCCGTTTGAAACACAACACCTTGATATTCCATCAATAGCGAAAGACACGTCATGTTCACATGTTTATCTTGACCATCTCCTCTGTAAGATACAGTCAATGGACTTCACCGAATAATGCTGAATGATTGCATGACAGGAAGTCGTTTAGCAATAGAGGAACATGCAACTAGCTGGGTAGAATCTTTAATTTCATAGTTTTATTTTGTTAAGACATGAAATAAAAAATCAGTGTAAGTACTTCAAGAAAATGACTGTGCCCATGAGGCACTGTATGTTTAAATCAAGCATGACATTTCTATCAGAATTAAGTTCTTTCCATGGTCATGATATATTATTTCTTTTTTAGTCACAATAATATAGTTTTCTCTTCTCATGGCATGGCCGCGTTTGTCTATTGGTATTGGAAGATGGTCATGTCACTGTGTTCTGATGATCGTGGAGAGGAAGTTGATGGCAGGAGTCAGGATGTCGGACTGTGACTGTATTGTGCAGTGGTGTATTCCTTAACGTTGCATCACATTCCCCAGCGCCTTTATCAGCAGTGGTCATTCCGGACACTGGACATTGAAGCTCACCGTCTCGAGGCTTTCGAGCCGTCAGAAACTACAGACAAACTCATCATAGATGTCCTCACACAGCTACTGAAACTGGGCAAGTTCATCAGCAAAACTCCCAAGGTTGGTGTAAAGATCGATCCATGTATCACTTGAGATTTCAGCTTTTCGTATAAATTTGTCAGTAGGACATAGGAAGCTCCAAAGCACTCATATTCAAACATTTTAACTCTTGTTGTGGAGATACTCAGTACCTCACAGTTTATGACATCTGTTCTTCAGGTATGTCATTATTTTGAAATTCAGATTTATGGGGGCAATGTTGGGTAGCATAGTGGTTTAAGCGTTTGCTCTTCACACCAAAGGCATTGGTTCTGAATGTTAAAATGAATAAATTTTGTTACTTTTGGCAATCTCAAGCAGGGGCAAGTAAGATATTGAAAGAGGGGGCCTGTCCCTTCTGGCCTCTGCTGGGAGTGATGGCTTCGCATTAACAGAAGGTGAATGAATGTATTAAGAATGAAACCAACTGTAAAACTTAGGATGTAGATATTGGCCAGAAAGTGACTCTCGTATTTTAGGATTTCAACAGTTTGTCCTAAAAAACAGAAAGGTGTAGCTATACTAGCTAATAGTGAGGTGACTATTGCAGTTGTGAGTTTTGAAATAACTGTCACAACACTGAATTACCAGAGTGAGTCGGGTCATCTTTCAAAACAAGTGTCGAAAAGCTGGAATATAGGAGTGATTCAGGTGCAAAGCTGGTCAATAAGCACATGGACTAAGCACAATTCTGGCTTTGTGTCGTGATGTAACATACCTTGTGTGGTTACATTATGACCATTATATTGAATGTCTGGCTTGTCAGACATGCTGCAGGCCAGCGGGCCCTTGTGTCGCTAAGGCTGTATCATGGGCAATAAGTGCCTGCACTAGGACACCACTATAATCAACAACAATCTATACAGCGAACTGCAAATATGGTAAACTGACTTCTCCAAGAGACCTAATATCAATATTAGTATCAAACTAGCGAAACAAAAGCGAGCCTCATTTTGTGCCTCATTCAGAAGTGAATATAGAGCCGACCTAATCATCAGTCATTGTTGCTACAACTGAAGCGCTAGTCAAACAGGGAAACAGGACTCTGCAAATAAGAAACTATAAATATAACAAATCCGTTTCTCTGATCTCCTGGAGTCAGTTTTGGATTCCAGAAGTATTGTGTACAAGTCTGAAAGTAGGGTGCTTCAGCTCTTCATGTGATTGTGTCTTCTTTCAGCTCGGGCGGTGGAGTAACCTTGTGGTTAAAGCGTTTGCTCATCTCGCTGAATACCAGGGTTTGATTACCCACATGGGTACAATGTTTGTGATATTGCTGGAATATTGCTAAAAGTTGCGTAAAACCTTACCGGTACTCACTCACTCACTTACTTCTTTCAGCTCAATTTCAAGAACGCCATGGACTCTCTGCACCAGAATGTGCCTGAGTTTCTGCCACAGCAAGGTAATTAGTTCTGTGTGAGATGAATGAAAAGGGATTGAGGTTTTGTCCCCGAGATAACTTTTCATTGAACTCCATGTTGGAAGCTAACATGAACTCCTGAAGTTTTCAAAAGATACTTAAACCATTGTAAACAGGTGATCTAATACGATATTACAAAGAATGTTAATAGTAAGAGCATGCAGAGTGTACTCATAATATGGTCACTCCTGGTTATCTGCCCCTAGTGTCTTGGGTGACCTCCCTTGGAGTAGTGTTCCCTGGCTAGACAGCAGACATTGAACTTGCTGCTTATCAAGCTGACAGAACCTAGAATCCTGGAACTGTGAAAATAGATAATGAAAACATTTACAGTCATAGACAATGGTAGGTCTTGTACCATGTTGGTCCATGAGGACAGCTGACATTACCGAGCTAAGGCTTAAAAAATAAAAGAATTGGTTCTCAGGGAATGGCTTTTGAAAATATCGTGCAGGTGGTTTGGGCGGGATTTTTTGGTGGTGGGATGGGAGGATAGGGTGTTTAAACCAGAAAATGTCCAAATAGATAGTTGTGCAAATCAAATTTGGAAAGGGCCTCCCTACATTAATGTAATCCTTGATGAGTAAAATACTGGAATCAATATTTGACTACAGTTGGACTGGCAGTGTGTGCACAATACAAGCAAACAATGATATTTTATTTTTGCAATGCGAAAACGTTATTGTGAGCCCACAACACTGGAAGAAGCATGTCAACAAATCCTCTACTGAAGTACGCAAGTCACTCCTATTATTACACTATCTGACTATAAAAGAGTTCATTGTGTATCTGGACTTAAAGGGGCACTGATCTAACGGACTGGTTGTTGCCTTTGTTATTGTTTTTCCCCCGTGAGTACCCGGATGATACGCAACGCAACTGAGCGTGACCAGAGACTGGGGTACCGTCTGCAAGGACAGCTAAATAAACTTGGAGGCTGGAGGCAATATTTGTTTTACGCAATTTTGAACACTGATTGGTTAACTGTGATCTATAAAGATTTCGACAAAGGGCGCATGTTAATTCATTTCTTCAGCCTAAACAAACAGACAAAAAGAACAAGGGAGCTCATCGGATGTCGTCATTTGGAAATACCCCAGATGGTTATAGTTTAATACTAAAAACAGTATCCATGCAGTGAAAGCATTTTCGGATTTCGGCTTGCGTCGATAATACGATAACTACTCCCTTGTTGTCATCCACGTTTTCTCGTATAACTCTACACTTGTGTATTTGTCGTCATTCACTTGATGCTCAGTTAATGAATTTATTACAGGTACAATTAGTGGTAGCACCACTTATATTACCTGACAAAGGTTCCCATTTGGCATTTATTGTGTCTGGGGTAATTATTCAATCTAAATCCAGGTTTGAAGTGAGGTGAAATGTGTGTTATGTAATATGCACGTGGCAGCCCAGCAAGAGATGAATGATCAGTTGATTTACTTTGTAAATCAACGGATCGTTCCTAGTCATCGAAGGATTAACAGAAAATACGTTGATTGATTAATCACTGTTATCTTGCACAGTGGATATGTCAAGAGTGAGTGTTTACATGTCTAGGTTTACTAAAACAAAGGGAATACACTCATATCATGGCGCGAAGTGCCGATGTAAAAACAACATTCTTTGTTCAAAGGGTTAACTGATAATACGTTGATTGATTGATCATTGTTATCTATCACTCAATGGAATTTTTAGGAACCGTGGACGCTATGAAAATAGTTGTCACGTGGGCTTTCTCAGCTGACCATTGAGACTTGACACCTATGTAAAACACCTGAAACAATCCAAGCGATCAGTTGAGAAACGAACACGGGTTATAATATCCCGAAACGATATATATCTTTTAAAATATTTGATTGTTACTGAGACACGTGACATCGAATAAGTTTCTTTGTACAGCTGCAGACGAGTGGGATATTGTTCCTTGTTGTCGATATTCACGGATACATTCCTCGAACAAGGAAGCTGCCTAAAACTTATACACATAAATTTGGTAGGTTGTAATTATGATGTGTGCATTTTGTTTTCCTTCATTTGAACCGATTCGTTCTTGTTTCTCTACGTCTTGGTTGGGAAATTCTTCAATGCGCGATAGACGTTGTAGTCACAGGTCTTTTCCTTTGTAAGCGTGTATATATTACCGTCAATTTGTAAAATGTGATTCTCTCAGGCAATTTATAAAATGTGTAAATATTTCAGCCATTTTGACTAAAAAATCTGTCCAGATTGATCAAGACGATCAAAAGGGCCTACAAACATCACAACAGATTATTATGTAGGATTAAAAGCCAAACAACTTAGAAATGTACTTTTCAACGTTACATTTTCAGTCTCTTGGTGATGACATTAAACATCAACATATTTGGAATTCGTTGTCATAATAATACAGATGGAAATGTTTTTCAGTCACTTTGTAAAATAACTGAATATTTAGACGTTTAGAAATGTGTTACACATTTGACAGTAAAAAAATATACACACTATAAAAAAAGCATATGCTCAGGTGAAATATATACTTTGTGTTGCAAGTCAAAATAGTGTAAACGAAAATCGCAAAATTACCAAGCAAGTGACTTATCAAAACTTCGTCACCATTACCGATGCTACTCACAAAGATACCTACATTTCCTTATTATCTCGAAAACTGTATTTCATTTTGTTGATCAATGTGACCATACGCCCTTATTACTACCCATAAAAGTGACTAATGCGCTTACGAATGGCGCAACAGAGGTCGCGAACTAGTCTAGATTTCTGCTATACATCCGGGTACTCACTGGGAAAAAACAATAACAAAGGCAACAACCAGTCCCGGGGAATTGCGTTAGATCAGTGCCCCTTTAAGTTTGTAATCCATTATATTACTTTTATCCAAGATTTCATTCACTTCCTGGTACATTAGTTTCGACAAAATCGTGTATGAACTGATGGGCAAATCACATCAGGTCGCCATGGACTAGCCTTGCAACAAACATTTGTCATTAGAGATACAAAGTCTTCGGTCTTTCTATTAATTCCTATGGATTTTTTTGCCATATTGGCCATGACATTAAGTATTTTTTAACTTAAATCACCCATAGAGCAGGGAGAAAATGTGTGAACAGCTGATTGCTATTTCCGACTTATTATACAAGACAAATACACATGTAATCTTAACCTCTGCATTGTCCGGCATACAGGACACAAAAACCCTTGAATTTGTAACTCATCATGTCTTGTGATGTTTTATCATAAATTTCATGTTTTCAATGACCAAATTTGCAGCCAGCAAAACAAGTACACAATTTCCTATTGCAGCTATGACAATAACACTCAAGATGCACAATAGAACAGTGCACACTGCTAGGGTCGTGTGTTCGAGACGCGGAATATTTAAGGATTTTAAAACATTTTCTTTGAAAATGGAAATACAAACGAAACATGTGGCAGGGTTTGTGATGATGCGACGGTGCCTGAGAACAAAGACTATTTCTTTTTAAGCCTAACTACTTAGTGACCAGCATCTTTTGGAAAATGAGCATTATCTTTCACCACTGTCAGTATTCTACAATGGGACTGCTCTCCTGATGTTTCAGTGGTGTGATATGCTCAGGTTATTATTGTTGGGTGTTCTGTGTGTTCCTCATCATTGGCTACTTGTCACTATGTGACTGACTGTTGTTGTCACATGACTGACTGTTGTTGTCCTGCTGCAGCTGCAATCCACTACCTCCTGGAGGAGGATGACAACTGTATGCTGCTGCCCAGCGAGTACATCAACACCTACACCAAGCCCTTCGACACCGCACTGGACAGTGGTGAGTTGAAGCCCTCAGCAAGGAGGTATCAGACAAGTGCCATGTTTTTATAGAAGATATTTTGAAATTGCTGAGTATGGCATAAAATCTCAAACAAAACAACTGAATATGTAAACTGGTCATGATATGAAAGCTTCAAATCTCTGCACCTGAAACTTGTATTCTAATAATGAAACTCATAGTTTCTTTTATAACAAAGCACACGCCTTTCTAGTGTGATCTGTATTAAATTTCCTTTCACTGTCAAAGGCTACATGTGCATGTAAATAATAGACTTGGGAAAAATCACAACTCAGATGTTGTCCATAATGAACACTTCTCCTTTCAGACAAAGTGTGGCCTCTACCTACTCGTCTCTTCCCATACAACTGATTAGCGTAAGGACCAGTCCAGGACAAGGGAACCGACAGACTCAGCAGGGACATCTCTCACAGTAACATCTGCAGTCATCCAAAGGTTGACAGCCATGGATAACCATGTACATATGTATATTTACAAATAAACTTCTGTGATATCCATTATTATGTAGTCACTATATTATATCTTTTTTCATTTTATATAAGACAATGCCGTGATATTACTGAAATAATGTTCAAAGCGGCGTTAAACCCAACTCACTCCTTACTATTATAAACCGATATCAGTAATCAATGGTACATTATGTTTTACTGTTATGACCATCCATAGACTCCTCGTGATGTGCACTTGCATATGCTGGATCCAGTAGGAGCACCTGTCTAAATGTGTTTTGTGTTGGACCAGTGGAGAAACAAGAACATAGAGAGGGATGCAGGGGCACCTGTCTAAATGTGTCCTCTGTTGGACCAGTAGAGAAACAAGTACACAGAGAATGATGTGGGGCACCTGTCTAAATGTGTCCACTGTTTGACCAGTGGAGAAACAAGAATATAGAGAGGGATGCAGGGGCACCTGTCTAAATGTGTCCTCTGTTGGACCAGTAGAGAAACAAGTACACAGAGAATGATGTGGGGCACCTGTCTAAATGTGTCCACTGTTTGACCAGTGGAGAAACAAGAATATAGAGAGGGATGCAGGGGCACCTGTCTAAATGTGTCCACTGTTTGACCAGTGGAGAAACAAGAACATAGAGAGGGATGCAGGGGCACCTGTCTAAATGTGTCCTCTGTTGGACCAGTGGAGAAACAAGTACATAGAGAGGGATGCAGGGGCACCTGTCTAAATGTGTCCTCTGTTGGACCAGTGGAGAAACAAGTACATAGAGAGGGATGTAGGGGTTCCTGTCTAAATGTGTCCACTGTTTGACCAGTACAGAAACAAGTACATAGAGAGGATGCAGGCGCACCTGTCTAAATGTGTCCACTGATTGACCAATATAGAAACAAGAACATAGAGAGGAATGCAGGGGCACCTGTCTAAATGTGTCCTGTGTCAGACAAGAACAGAAACTATTTAAGTACTAGCTAGGAGAGTAGGGTGTAGGGGAACTGTCGTTGTCTTATTGTTTTCTACCAGATATGATATGGAAAAAAGGGAACACAAATTACTAAGTGCTATACAAGCAGGATCCTCCGTATAGATCTTGCCTCCCAGAAGACGCTTGTTTTCTAAAATATGCTCTTCAGAAATAGAACGCAAAAGAATTAAAGTAAATATCTGACACAATGTTGCCGACATCCATACACAATTAATACCAAAAATGAATTGGTCATTTCTACATGAATTGGGATTGATTTGTATGGAAAGAATGAGTTACTGCAGAAATTTGGTGAAAAGGTGGAAAAAAATTGCAGAAACACAATTACGCAGAAACACACCAACATGACATGCTCGTTCAACATCACTTTGGCTCACACGGCAAAACTGACAACAGCCTTTTTCAGGAATCACATCATCCTGCCAGGTCCTGCCATGGACGTCCAGATCTACAGATTTAATCCAAATCAATCACTTCGTACAAAAGACAAAGGAAACTGCAATGATTACTTCAATCACTTCATGCAACAAACACGGGAAGCACTGCAATATAAACTGCAATCACTTGGTACAACAAACACGGGAAGCACTGCAATAATAACTACAATAATTGGTACAACAAACACGGGAACACTGCAATAATAACTGCAATCACATCGTACAACAAACACGGGAAGCACTGCAATGATAACTACAATACTTGGTACAACAAACACGGGAACACTGCAATCACTTGGTACAACAAACACGGGAACACTGCAATAATAACTGCAATCACTTGGTACAACAAACACGGGAAACAGCAACAATAACTGTAATCACTTCGTACAACAAACACGGGAAGCACTGCAATAATAACTGCAATCACTTCGTACAACAAACACGTGAAACACTGCAATAATAACTGCAATCACTTCGTACAACAAACACGGGAAGCACTGCAATAATAACTGCAATCACTTGGTACAACAAACACGGGAAGCACTGCAATGATAACTGCAATCACTTGGTACAACAAACACGGGAAGCACCGCAATGATAACTGCAATCACTTGGTACAACAAACACGTGAAACACTGCAATGATAACTGCAATCACTTCGTACAACAAAGACGGGAAGTACTGCAATCACTTCGTACAACAAAGACGGGAAACACAGCAATAATAACTGCAATCACTTCGTACAACAAACACTGGAAAAACTGCAAAATAACTACAATCACTTGGTACAACAAACACGGGAACACTGCAATAATAACTGCAATCACTTCGTACAACAAAGACGGGAAGTACTGCAATCACTTGGTACAACAAAGACGGGAAGCACTGCAATAATAACTGCAATCACTTCGTACAACAAAGAAGGGAAGCACTGCAATAATAACTGCAATCACTTGGTACAACAAAGACGGGAAGCACTGTAATAATAACTGCAATCACTTCGTGCAACAAACACGGGAACACTGCAATAATACATGCAATCACTTTGTACATCAAACACGGGAACACCCCAAAAATAACTGCAATCACTTGGTACAACAAACACGGGAAGCACTGCAATAATAACTGCAATCACTTTGTACATCAAACACGGGAACACCGCAAAAATAACTGCAATCACTTGGTACAACAAACACGGGAAGCACTGCAATGATAACTGCAATCACTTGGTACAACAAACACGGGAAGCACTGCAATAATAACTGCAATTACTTCATGCAACAAACACGGGAACACTGCAAAAATAACTGCAATCACTTGGTACAACAAACACGGGAAGCACTGCAATAATAACTGCAATCACTTTGTACAACAAACACGGGAAGCACTGCAATAATAACTGCAATCACTTCGTACAACAAACACGTGCAACACTGCAATAATTACTGCAATCACTTCGTACAACAAACACGGGAAGCACTGCAATGATAACTGCAATCACTTGGTACAACAAACACGGGAAGCACTGCAATAATAACTGCAATCACTTCATGCAACAAAAACGGGAACACTGCAAAAATAACTGCAATCACTTGGTACAACAAAGACGGGAAGCACTGCAATAATAACTGCAATCACTTCGTACAACAAACACTGGAAGCACTGCAATAATAACTGCAATCACTTCGTACAACAAACACGGGAAGCACTGCAATGATAACTGCAATCACTTCGTACAACAAAGACGGGAAGCACTGCAATGATAACTGCAATCACTTCGTACAACAAACACGGGAAGCACTGCAATAATAACTGCAATTACTTCATGCAACAAACACGGGAACACTGCAAAAATAACTGCAATCACTTGGTACAACAAACACGGGAAGCACTGCAATAAAACTGCAATCACTTTGTACAACAAACACGGGAAGCACTGCAATAATAACTGCAATCACTTCGTACAACAAACACGGGAAGTACTGCAATGATAACTGCAATCACTTCGTACAACAAACACGGGAAGCACTGCAATAATAACTGCAATCACTTGGTACAACAAACACGTGAAACACTGCAATAATAACTGCAATCACTTCGTACAACAAAGACGGGAAGCACTGCAATAATAACTGCAATCACTTGGTACAACAAAGACGGGAAGCACTGCAATGATAACTGCAATCACTTGGTACAACAAACACGGGAAGCACTGCAATGATAACTGCAATCACTTGGTACAACAAACACGTGAAACACTGCAATGATAACTGCAATCACTTCGTACAACAAAGACGGGAAGCACTGCAATCACTTCGTACAACAAACACGGGAAACACAGCAATAATACCTGCAATCACTTCGTACAACAAACACTGGAAAAACTGCATAAATAACTACAATCACTTGGTACAACAAACACGGGAAAACTGCAATAATAACTGCAATCACTTCGTACAACAAACACGGGAAGCACTGCAATAATAACTGCAATCACTTCGTACAACAAAGACGGGAAGCACTGCAATAATAACTGCTATCACTTCGTACAACAAAGACGGGAAGCACTGCAATAATAACTGCAATCACTTGGTACAACAAAGACGGGAAGCACTGTAATAATAACTGCAATCACTTCGTGCAACAAACACGGGAACACTGCAATAATAACTGCAATCACTTTGTACATCAAACACGGGAACACCACAAAAATAACTGCAATCACTTCGTACAACAAACACGGGAAGCACTGCAATGATAACTGCAATCACTTGGTACAACAAACACGGGAAGCACTGCAATAATAACTGCAATCACTTCATGCAACAAACACGGGAACACTGCAAAAATAACTGCAATCACTTGGTAAAACAAACACGGGAAGCACTGCAATAATAACTGCAATCACTTAGTACAACAAACACGGGAAGCACTGCAATAATAACTGCAATCACTTCGTACAACAAACACGGGAAGCACTGCAATGATAACTGCAATCACTTCGTACAACAAAGACGGGAAGCACTTCAATAATAACTGCAATCACTTCATGCAACAAACACGGGAACACTGCAAAAATAACTGCAATCACTTGGTACAACAAACACGGGAAGCACTGCAATAATAACTACAATCACTTTGTACAACAAACACGGGAAGCACTGCAATAATAACTGCAATCACTTCGTACAACAAACACGGGAACACTGCAATGATAACTGCAATCACTTGGTACAACAAACACGGGAAGCACTGTAATAATAACTGCAATCACTTCATGCAACAAACACGGGAACACTGCAAAAATAACTGCAATCACTTGGTACAACAAACACGGGAAGCACTGCAATAATAACTGCAATCACTTCGTACAACAAACACGGGAAGCACTGCAATAATAACTGCAATCACTTCGTGCAACAAACACGGGAAGCACTGCAATGATAACTGCAATCACTTCGTACAACAAAGACGGGAAGCACTGCAATGATAACTGCAATCACTTGGTACAACAAACACGGGAAGCACTGCAATAATAACTGCAATTACTTCATGCAACAAACACGGGAACACTGCAAAAATAACTGCAATCACTTGGTACAACAAACACGGGAAGCACTGCAAT